TTTTAGTTTTTTTGTATATAAAGGCAATATGATAATTTGTCTTTTTTTGTATACAAAAAATTAATCCACTCCAACCAAGTTTTGCTTAATCCGATCAAGCTACATCTACCAACACTATCAATAGAATAGCGGTGTGGTCATTTTGTGATTTTTTTATTCTCTTTTTCATGTCTGTGAAACTTCAAATCTCGAATAGTTAAGTTGTCTTTAAGCTTTTGAGTTATTAATAATCCCGATATTCTTTTCTGCAGAATTCTATTGATCCAGGACTGTATGTAGACCCCGAAACCTACTTTCTTTTATGACAAAATCAATCAAGCCCAATCGGTCACAACATGTTGTTGATCATTTTGATGTTGATCTTTTCTATTATGTTTTATGTATTTTTGTCTTGCTATTCGAGATAAATCTTTACAGTCTATATCAAATTGGTGTCAGAAAATACATGGCTCCTGAAACAGTTAATCATTAGAATCAAAGGAATAGGGCATAGAAGGAATGAAGTTATCCATGGCAGAGAGCTAGAGACACAATAACAATAAATGCCTAATTGCCTGGATCCATGTAAACCAAGAAGATGGTAGAAATATCGATTATGGTAAGTTGTTGTCTATTATTGATGATTTGATAAGGTGTCCATTAATAGAAGAAACCAACCAAGTTGTTAATGATCGACCACAACCATCGATACAACAAAAATTGACCCTACAACCATTACTTGGGTTGAAGGTTAGAACGACAGAATAAGTAGGGACCCATGGGAACGATGTTGAATAATGGAAATCCAAATTAGAGACTTAGAAAGTTGGATATGCCTCTTTTTGATGGGAACAACCCTGATGGTTAAATTCTCGAAGCAAAGAGGTACTTCAATTTTTATTGGCTAAACGAACAGGATAAAATGGAGGCATTGGTTGTTGCATTGAAAGGGGATGCCTTATTGTGGTACCAATGGGAGCACTGGAGATGGGTTATTTAGCAATGTCTTTTGGCCTAACTAACGTTCAAGCTACGTTCCAATCTCAAATGAATGACATTTTTTGTCAGTATCTCCGAAAATTTGTCTTAGTATTTTCTGATAACATATTGGTGTACAACCACACCGAGGATCAACACGTGAAACATGTAGCACTAGTCCTTGAAACATTAAAGTGACACTCCTATTATGTGAATAGAGAAAATTGTAGTTTTGGTCGAATGTGAGTTTGCGTATTTGGGACACATCTTAAAATCTAGAATAGCCATGTAAAAGTTATGTTGGATTAGGAAATTCCAAATAATATTAAGGAATTTTGAGGATTCCTTTGGGCTTACCGTAAATATAAAAAATCTCGCCCATTAACTGAGCAGTTAAAAAAAGGTTAGCTTCATTGGATAAAAACAACAAAAAGGGCATTTAACAGACTGAAGCAACTCATAACTACATCCCCAAATCTTGTAATACCCGATTCTTGAAAATCATGCCTCAGATTTTAGGGTTAGAGTGGTTATCATTTGACACATACATCTCATTGCATTTTTAAGTTAAACATGGAACAAAATGGAACTGGCTCAAACCTAATTATGAGAAAGAATTAATGGTTATTGTGATGATTGTTCAGAAGTGGCAAGATTACCTTCTTGGAAGACACTTCATTATTAGAACTTAAGTTCATTCTTGAACAAAGTGAGGTTGGAAGTAAGCATCAAAAATGGTTTTGTAAGCTATTTGGTTTTGACTTTGTAAACAATATAATATGGGAGTATCCAAAAAGTGGCAGATGCCTTGTCGAGAAAATCATAAAGTGAATTAACTTTGGAAGTTTAATTTCCGACATTAGCTTTGATCTTGAAGCACCCATTTTCTATGTGAGAGAATCAAGATGTTTTGAATGCTTGGATTACCGAGAGTTGTGAGATACACTTTCAGATTAAAGCATTTCAAGGATACACTCAAACTCTCTAATCAAACAAAACTCGGTATGAGATCAAGAACAGAGAATGAAGAAGATGATTTCTTACGTGTACAAAAAAATGATAAAAATGGGTATATGACCTTTGTCTGAAAACTGATAGAAGAAAGTGTCATAAAATAGTTTCCTACCACTATAAACCTGTCGTATACTGCCACTAAAAACGAGTTCAAATACAGGATCACAAAACCGGGTTTAAGACACAAATTCAGATTTTAATGTATCATCTATAAGGGCCAAAACCAACTCGACCCCTTGGATCCCGCTCCTAGGGATGCTGCCCTCGGACCCTCGTCGGTCCAAGGGCTTCACGCCTAAATAGAAATGTACTTTCAACCGAGACAAACTTAAACAAGTGTGCACTCCGTAATCCGCACCATCCAAACTTGTTTAATATTTATCAATGCAATATTGATCAACAAATTAATCTCATTACATTTAAATAATATTAGAGATACAAATCACCAACAAACATCCCCCATTTAAGTGTAATCTTTGATTAACTTAAAATAAAGTAAAAAAAAACAAGTTGTTGCATAAATGAAATGTCATGACGATTGAATTTCACATTAGTATATTACTCATTCCAAATATTTTAACATTAGGGTGTCACTAAGGATTGAACCCGTTCTATTCATAGCGAATACATGAAGATTATACACACAACAATTTACATTCTTATAAGTTCCAACTTGACACTTTATTTTACTAGCATGTGTCATATCCTTCAATAAACATATCAAAGCTAAATCTCAAACTTCTTGAAGCGGCTAAACTTCATGTTTATATAGGTAGTAATTTATTCTTGCACGGAAATGCAAATTTTTAAAGAATGATTAAGAAATTAAATTTCAACCTGAAGTACTGAACACATACCTTGAGATGATATTAATAATGTGTTCCAATCTTTAAATATCAAATTTTCCGCATTAAAATTCAGCATCTAATATTACATTGGATGGGAATCGTGTATCTTATTATAAAAGATTTCATGTGGACTCTAAACCCATCCCACAATCACCTTGTGCAAAAGATCTCTTGCTAACCATTTGGTTAGATGATTGACTAAATTCAACTGAGTTCTTACAAACTCCATATATATCACACCACTCATGATGAGCTCACGAATCATGTTATGTCTAACACCTAAAAGTTGTAGCACTATCACACCTTAAAGAAATGGTAGATATCAGTTTGGACCATAACAAAATTTTATAAATCAAATTCCTTAGCCACTCAGCTTCTTTACCAACATCAAATAATGCTACAAATTCATACTCTATGGTTAAGTTTGTAATACAAGTCTGTTTCTCGACCCCAACCAGGGGCTTTGCCCCCGAACCCCATTCGGTTCATGGGCTTTGCCCTAAATAACAGTGTACTTTCAACCAAGACAAACTTAAACAAATGTGCACTCCGCACCACCCTAACTTGTTTAATATCTATCAGTGCCACATTGATCAACAAATTAATCTCATTACACTTAAATAATATTAGTGATACAAATCACCAACATTCTACATCATCGGTAGTCTGTTTGCATGGTTCGAATCTCAATAAGATCCGATTGAGACAAGGTTTGTATGAGAAATTTTTTTAGGGTATTTTGTAGCCTTCAAAGTAGCAATTTTAAAGAGAAGTATGGACAATCAAAAGTGGTTAACGAATCAGTCTTGAGACCTAATTGTGTTGTTTTACCCACGAAATACCAAAAACATGGGTGAAATGGCTTCCATGGTGGAGTTTTGGTATAATACACCTTGTCACTATTCATTTAAACACTTCCCTTTTAAAGATTTATATGGCCGAGATCCACCCAAAATGGCCAGGTTCATCACAATGAATCTCCATGTTAACGTTGTATATACCCTAATAACAGTTGTGCAAAATGAAAACAAGAAATGAAAATGTAATTAAAGTGTGGGAAAAAAAAATGAAACATTTACTATGGAATGTAATAACCAAGACAGACAAAGTAATAAGTTTTTTGATTATTATTATTATTATTGAAGCGTAAAATTCCAAACCAATGCCAGCTGAGAGAAGTGTAGGTGTTGAATTATTTTAGGGTTAGGATTGTGGGTATTTGTTGGGGAGTACATATATGTTTGATTGAAATGGCACGTGCATACACATGCAGGCAAGTGATTATGTGGGGTTGTTCACAGCTCACAATTCATAATAGCAGCTCACAAGCACAACTAAATACACAATAAACAAGGATTTGTGGCAGACTGCAATTGGTTTTGGGTGGGAAATGAAAATCCCACGTTTATATGTAAACCAACATACAACATACACCGACATGACATCATATCCATCAACCAAATAAAAAGAAGCTCGTTATATAATGCAAATAGATCCGATGGCAATAAATAAGCAAATGTTAGTAGTCATTCTGGTGTCAAAACTAGTTGGGTTTACGTTACGAAAAATTAATGTTTGGTTTGGTAGTATAACATCAGTTATCAGAGGAGTAGGTAGGGTCACTAGTCCTCTCCACCTGAGGTCTACAATTATCACCCATAATACTTTGGTTTTGAATCATTATTTACATAGTTGTAATTAGTTGAATCAATCCAAGACCAAATCATGTCCAAAAACAGAATGGCTGGATGCAGAACACCAACAACAAACAATGGTGTGTTTGTGTTAAGCATTTGCGGATATACAAATAAAGGCATCAAACAATGTCTAATGCCATTCAAAATCCAGATCCACACTTGAAATCTCTACATATTACACTTGATTCAACATAAACTGTTTTTTTTTTACTTCAAACAACAGAATGGACTCACCTTATAAGTATGAAATGTTATGGGACAAAAAATGAGGGAGAAAGAGAAACCCTCCCCTTGACAAAATCTGATAATAAAACATCCGTGAGACATTATACATAAAACAAAAACCTAAATGATAACAATAATAATAAAGAAATAGATAAAAGTAAAACACTCAACTCTGAAACAAAATTATACTCTACTCTGTACATCCATTCATGTCTTGTTGTTGTTGTTGTGTTGGTTTGGTGAAGAATCCTGGAATGGATCACTCAGAAACATCAAGCTTGGGGTCGGGGTCAACCCTCCAGTAGTTTGAATCATTAAAATCCTTCTTCAACTCGTTTTCCTCTTTTTCAGGAATCACCTCCTGCTTTTTCAAAGGCCCTGCTTCCCCAACAATCCCCTCCTTAAGAGCCCCATCCATGGCCTTTTCACTCCCTTCTAATTCCAATTCTACCCCTACAAACTCCACATCTTCTTCAAACAAACCACCACCCTTTTCATTTGACCCATTTGCATTTGCATTTGCTTTTGCTACAGAGGATGTATTTTCGTAATCCAGAAACGGATTCACCCCTCCTCCTCCTCCTCCTCCTGATCCCCATTCTGGCATCGGCCTATCTGCAAACAGATCCTCCTCCTCCCCCTTCTCCTTATCATTCAAATCTCCGTTTATTACATTCTCCTCTTCAATAAACGGATTTTTTTTATCAACCATCACTTCATCATCACTGCTGTTAGATGTGCCACTTCCATTCAAATTGATCTCATCCATTGCTTCAGAATGTGAGGTAGCCTCCCCCTCCCCCATTCTCATTCTCTCCTCTTCAAAAGCAAACCAATTTGAATTCGTAAACAGACTGCCTTCTTCATCACCTAACCTCAACGATGATATCACAACTTCAGCTGATTCATCATCAAAGTAACCATCCTGCAATTTATTATATTAATAAATATTCTTTATATTTTCCAAAATCAATAAATTAAATCAGGTATTATTATTATTTCTTTATTACCTCGTCGTCTCGATTAAGAGTTCCGTGACCCTGAAATTAAACATAAAAAAAGATATATGGGAATGAAATTTTATTTATGTAACTAAAGACAACATTTTACATTTAGGCTAAAATTTGAGCATACCTCTTGAGTTTCTTCATTGTCGTCGTATATGTTGTATCGAAATGCTTGACTTAGATTATTTGCTAAAGCAGCAACATCATAGTCTCTGTCATGAATCTCATCTTCATCGCTATCCCTACTTCTCTCTTGCAGTGCAGATGGCCGCCTATCATTGCAACACACACACATTTATTTATTTATATAAATAAATAACAAATTAAAATTAGATTAAAAAAAAACATACCCGCAAGCCCATCGGTACACATTTTCAACCATGTTACGTTCCTGTAGAACTGTAGTCTGCCATTCGCTCCATTCACTACTTTCCTACATCACAAATTGGTACATCAAATTAATTCTTTATCTTAAAGATTCTATGAATGAAAGCTTACCTTAATGTGTGTCTGGATACGGCTATCACTGTTTGCCAGCTGGATGATTTTATTGGCAATACGTGTCACGTGTCCCAGGTTTCCAACTCGAGGTGGATTTCTTCCCAAAGCCACCAACGTTGGCTGCATACCCAACACCCAACACAACACTGAGTATTACATATACACTTGAAAGGAATTGAAAATATCTACATTCATAGACACTTTGTTAGTTACCTGATTAAGGGTGGGATAATTATCTGCTTGTTGGATCTTTGTTATCAGAGAACAGTCTTGAAATAGATGATCCATCATGGTGTCATTTCTACTTTCTAAACAGGAATATATTATGCTTTCAACATGATGATGTAAAGCATTATTAAATGGGTACCTACATATAATTATAAACTCAAACCCTTCAGATCCTACCAACACCAAACTCAACTCATTCATAAATCAATCATCATATTCTTAGTTCTTACTCAAAGAAAAGATCAAGAACTCTTTGAATAGTTCCAGATGCAATTAATTCCTTTTCTGCAGTTTGATTTCCGGTTTTCAGTAAAACTGCTATGAATTCCACAATCTTTAAACGATGCTTGCCTAGAGGAGGCTTCAATTGCCCATATGAAGTTGCTAAAATTTTATCATCCAGCGACACATTCAATAACATCAACAAGTCACCTGAAATATCAGACATGATTAAAAAAACTAAATACTAGGGATGAGCAAAAGTACCGAACCGGACCGGAACCGGGAACCGGCTTCGGCCAAAATCAAGAACCGAACCGGCCCGGCGGTTCTATCGGTCCGGTTCTACCGGTTCTCGGTTCCTACCGGTTCTTGTCGTGTCTTCAAATGTTGGAACCGGTCCTTGAAAAATAGCATCATACGGTTCCGGTTTTTGCCGGTTCTACCGGTTTTTGCCGGTTCTACCGGTTCCGGTTATATCGGTTCCGGTTCCTACCGGTTCCCGGTTCCAAAAATCTACAAAAATAACGTCCCGGTCCCGGCCCGACCGGTTCCATCGGGTTCCGGTTCCGGTGCCGGTTCCGGTTCCGGTACCGGTTCCGGCCGGTTCCCCGGTCCATTTGCTCATCCCTACTAAATACCCATCACATGCACAAGAGATGGATGAAACTCACCAAGTTTTGGCAGCATTGCACCTACAGTCTCCTGGTTGACTTGTACGGGTGATTCATACATGTGTTGACCTCGAAAAGAATTGAATATAGATGAAGGGGCTGATTTTTTAGGATCTAATAAGGATATGCACACAGATAATGAGTGGACAAGTCCTGATTTTGAGTGTGAGTCTTCCAATGCGTGACCAAATATCCTTGTAACGTAACTGAAAAAAAAAAATATCAAACAATATATTAAGATAATGTATTTGAGGGAGTAATACTAATTAAGCAGTGAATGAACCTTGAGCTTGAAAGCCTAGAGGCAAGTGGAGATGGAGCAGTTCGGGTTATAGCACATAAAGTTTCGGCTGCATTAGCATGTACTTCAGGAGGAGCCTGTCAGTAACATATGAGCACAAAATTATATACAATAAATTTAACAACAGCTGTCTCTCATGATCAGATATATGTTTATACATCAAAAATGAAACTCTGCTCTACTTACAGATGGATTCAGTTTATCCACGATCATTTCTAACAGATTGCTGTCTGCTAACCATTGCATAACTTCTGCATAATTGGGATACATATGATCATCACCTCCAACAAGTCTCACCAACACCTGTGTGTGTGTGTGTGTGATCATAAAGGTCAAAGTCAATCACATGTGTCATTTTTAAGCATATGGTCAACAACTAGCCTTTCTGCAAGCTAAATAAGAAATTTACTAACCTCCTTTATTGATGTAATTCCTATTAAATCAACTAGCTGCTGGAAAACATACTGATGGGCCTGTAGCATTTGAAAATTCAAACCTCAATCATATGTCCATTAACTTGCATGTTTACTTTGCAAAAAGCAAACATACTGCTAACTTCTATTGGTTGCTATAGACTTTTCTCTTTGAATATATATATATATATATATATATATATATATATATATATATATATATATACACACACACACACACACACACAATAGGATTGTAAAAGTAAGAAGCATGTAAACAATGTATTTACTCACTTGAACATAATTCATAAGTGGAACCGTTTTGCGTACCATGAGACATATCACAACCTACAAGAAGCAGATAAAAATCTAAGTAATTTGCTTAGTTCAAAGTAAAATCAATTTATGTATATTATTTTTACCAAGTCAAAGAAGTAAACCTTAAAACACTTGGTTCAAAGTAAAACGAATCAAATAAGGGTTAAAAAAGGCATCAACATGTGTATCCATAGTTACAAGAGTTTACGACTTCCAAATTCAAGAATACTATTTTAACAATATATTTCTTATAATCATATTTAAAAAACTGAAGTCTAATAACTTTTTAAGATCAAAACTAATGCAAAACCTCCTTAGCTCAACACACTTGATATAGTTGAAATTTATCCACAATCAAAACAGTTCTTAACTATTATGTTTGGTTTAAATCATTACTGATATTATACCATATATTAACTAGAAAGTGCTTATGAACAGTATATTTTTCCACTTTTAAGAGTTTTGCAACAAATATTTTGGATATTGGCACACTTAGTCCCTACAATTTTGTAACTTACAGAAGAGGTCCCTGTGAGGCTTTTTTACAGAAACAGCCGCTATGTTTAAGATTTTCATACGTTGGCAACTTTGGCCCCTGTGTAGAAAATAAATAACAAAAATTGTTCCCGTAATTTAAAGAAAAGGTCCTTGTGTATCTTTTTACAGAATCGATCCTTTTTTAAAATTACAAATTGTGGCCAAACCATGCACACGCAAACCTTTACTTTGTCCCCTGTGGAGCGGATACCATGTTCAATTTACGTTACTGATCATATTGTGATTTAATATTAAATATGCTGGTATTATTAATTTTAGAAAATAAACTGTAATCAAACACATAGTCATTTGTTATGTGCTATCATTTCTATACAGAAGAGTAAAATGGTCGTTTATTCAGATTCGGATAGTTCCATTAGCCCAAAAAACAGTCTTTACGTATAAAAGACTCATCCAGACAGACATCAACAACCATTCAGCCACTTTATCCATACAGGACTTAATGAGAAAAAGAAAAAAAAAAAAAAAACACACAAAGATGAATTCACTTCAGGTTGAAGGAAATGATATACCAATAATACCATATTGATAGTTATGTCACCTGTTTCTCTCCATCCCTCCAACCAAATTATGAGAGATAATGTAATGGCAATCAAGGCAAGGAGATTGTAGTATTTAGGAGTATACCTTACTGAAGTACCCAGCCAGCAAGGCACTATGTGGACGTGTTGGCTCCAAGAAGGAGAAAAGTAAATTCATTAGCTGCAATTATGGAATAGGAAGAAGGGGTTGTGAAACTAAAACTTAGATGTATATTTTATAAAGTCATGAATGTTAAGTAATCATAGAATTAATAGCACACCTCCTCGTCCTCAACTAACGCTTTGAAGATTACATCAATCTCACATGTGAATATCTCACAAGCAATGAACGGAAACCTGAAGGATAGAAGAGATATTAGTAGAGTGTAGATATACATAAACTTTATTCCAAATGATTTAGTAATAAAGGACCTACTTGAATGTACGTTTGCTATCAGCATCCTCTTGAGACTCAACTATGATATACTGCAATAGTTGTTCAACCTGGGCTCTGTCTCGCAAGCTGGAAAAAAGAAAAGTACTCTTTTAAGTAATGCAAATAGTAGAATCCTATTACTGTAATTATTAGTTTAATATTGTGGAGACATTATGATTTCTTGAGTGGTGGAAGTAAAGTGTATGTAGATAATAGTGGTAAATCAATGAGTTTAAATTACTAGTAAAGTGTTATTACAAATTAATGAGACGGCTATTCAATGCTTTGCATTCTTGAATAATATCTTCTTCATCCAAGAGCTCTTCCAATGTGAAATTTTCTTTGTCCAAGACTGACTCAACCTAAACCACATGACAAACCAACTGTTAGGAAAAAGTAAACAGTTTATGCTTTGTGGAATCTTAGATTACCATTAAGATAAAGACCATCCTAAAGTGAACACATACGACTGATAGAACAATATGATGTGCTACTGCTATCATATAATATGAACACACCTATGAAAAGAGAAAATAATCCACATAGAAGGAAAGAGTGTTGAAGGTGATAAATTCTATAGTAATTTTCTGCAATTAAGCATGATTGCACAGGAAAGATTGTAAAAAAAAAAAAAAAAAAAAAAAAGCCGCAGGTCAAACAGAGAAAATTCATATGAAGAGAGAAAGCATCAGCCTGATTTTTACAAAATTAGGTATTGAGCCAACCAGAAAGAAACTTATATAACCACACCCATATTATAATCTGATATCTTGTAAATCCTCTCAATTGATTAACTGATATCACTTCCTTTCTCCTGTTAATCCCCTTCTGTAACATATGATCCGATTATTGGTACTCATATCCATCTACAAAAAAAAATTCTAACTTCCACTAATGACGCTCTTGTCCCTCAAAGGCTCAGACCAAGTGAACAAGTACCCCCTTGTTATTTAAAGCCTGACTTATCAACCGAAAATCTATTTACTATGAAGCATGTAACTTTTAGGGGAAGATTCATGGTCGAAATATTAACTTCCAATAGTCTTTTGTGTCATCAAGTAACCTCTCGATCAATCTGAAAATGAAGTCATTCCTGAGTGCTATAGACAATGTTATTGAATCCCATGAGATGGGATTTGTTGCATCATTTTCCTATGCTCAATCACTTGGTTTAGGTGGGAATGACTTTTTATACACTTATGTTCTACCTTAATGATGCGAGATGTCCTCTCACAACTTTATGTTTTGTGTCCTGACTCCTGATGTTTCTGATGCATCTTAGAAATCATTCACAAGACAGGTTAAAGAATTCAGTTCTGTAACTATGGTAGATGGGGTTGGGGTAGCTTGACTATGGAACCAATGCAATTGGAAGATGTAACAACAAATTTATGTTCTTTTTGCTCATTACATCACCTCAGTACTATCCATGCTGAACTGCAAGGCCACTCATGTTAACTTAAACCCATATGTTCTCCCAGCTTCCATTACAAATGGCTTCCTACGGCTAAATTAGCATACCAAATCGTAATTGAACCTCAGTATCCAAAACTAAATAAGTTTCAAATACAAGTTATCCATAATCAAGTACGCACTTAATTGCTTAATCATATGAATCAAGCTGAGGTCTGAATGAGCCAAACACCGTCACGTTTACGCTGTAATGATGCCAATAGCGTACATGAATAATATAGCAAATTAATACCATATCGAGATCCATACAGCATCAGAACAAAATCAGATTATAACGAAAAAACATGCAAATCACTCAATACTAGTCATAAACAATTTCATTACACATGAATTCAACAAAAAGATATATATTCCATCGTAACTTACAGGTGAAGAAGCAGATAGAGCTGTAAGTTTCCAAAACATGATGAATTATAACTCGCTTGGATCTACAAACCCTAGGAGATAGAACGTATGAAGATGAGTCCCAGATTGACGGTTGCGCGTCAAAAACTTTGGGAACAAATCCAACAAAAACCCTATGTTTTGGATATTGCAGAGAGAGAGGGAGAGGGGAGAGAAAGAGAGAAAATCAGAAGGCAGTAAAAATTGACAGATTTGAGAGACAGGGAGAGGAGAGAGGAGCTCCAAAATTTTCTCAAAATCGCAGCTAAGAGAAAGACGAAAGCTGTGTGGTGTGGTGACAAGGGGCAAAGGCCCGGGTCTGGACCTCTAAAATGCTAAAATGAGGTCCGGATTTTTCATCTAAAAAAAACGGATAGAGTGTTCTTAGATTCACATATAGATTCATTTGCAAACGATAATGACATTTTAGATATAACGATTACCTAAATCTTAAGCTCTATTAGCACAAAAAAACAAATAATTAATAAATTAAATGTTTTCTTTTAGAAAACTAACTATTAGTTAGAAACTAAAAAACAGAAAGTTGTAGTTTTTATTTCTATAAAAATAACAAGACAAGAATAATTATACATTTTTAAATATGTAAAATAACATAAAAAAAAAATTTTAAAAACTAAAAACTTTTAGAAAACTATTTCACATAGAATTTAGGTTAAAAGTTTTTTATCTAAATTAAATTTCTAAATAAGGAACGAAACTTTTGTTGTAGTTTGAAATTAACCCAAAAATAAATAAATGTTAAAACTTTCTAAAATTTGTTAGTCTAAGAATATATATAAGAAACATTAATTAATGATAAATACATTCATAATTAAATATGAAATACATTACTTATAAGAAATATTATCATCATTAAATATGAAATGAATTAATAAACTCCATAATAAATATATTTCACATTTAATCATGGTAATATTTTTTATAATTAATATCAATAACATATATTAAAAAATCACTATATTAAATAACCAAAGAGTTGAATAAGAAAAAATTACAAGTCAAATTGGTTAATTAAGTTTTAAAATAAGAAAGAAATTAAATACAATTAAAAATATTTATTATTATTTTTTTTTTTGAATGGCTAAACTTTTATAAAAAGCAAAAAAAAAAAAAAAAAAAAAAAAAAAAAAAAAAAAGCTAAAGGCGAAAAAGAACCATTACATCATAAAGTTCAAAATGGGGGTTTGAATCCATAAATTCCATGGAATAGTGATTTATGTTTCTGATGCACTATCCGATTAAAAGAAAAAATACCAATATCTTCGAATAACATATTTTGTCTAGGTCTCGATTGGTCAAACACATATTTATTTATGAAGTTTCATATGAATCACCAGTTCGTGTAGATAATAGCTTCCGAGATATCTTTCATATTCATACTTAAATGAATAGCATCCAAGAACAAAAACATCTACTCGACTGAATTTAATTTAGACATATCAATATCACACCACATATTGAGTTTCTGAATCAAGCCTTTTGCTAGCGTATACTAAAAAAAATGATTAACACTCTCCACTTATTCATGCAAATAGGACAAAGGGAACTAAGAACATCAATATCTCTAAAAATTAAGTAATCTTTAGTATGAAGATTATTAAGAATAGGGATGAGTGCAGGCGGGTACCCGTCTTAATTATCTGGAATTGGAACCGGAATCGAGACCAACGGTTTAAAATGTTGGAACCGAAACTGAAACCGATAGGTAGTGATTCCACTAGCGGGTACCTAGTTCGTTAAATTTGTTGAATTTGTAAAACATTATATGAGTTAGAATTTAACTTGAATATAATAGTTACTTATGTCTATTATCTATAAATTCATTTTAAAAATGGATAGTTTAATTTCAAAATGAAAGTTATATGCGGACATTTAAAGGTTCAAAACAAATTAGGGTAAATGTTACTGTAACCCTATGAAGTTTCACCTTTTGGTTTAAATGGTCCCTTTCGTTTTTTTTTTTTTTTTCATTTAAGGGGTATAAACTCAAGTTTTACCGGATAAAAAGATCCCTTTACCTGTTTTAACAGGTTTCAAACCCAAACCATTGTCCACGTAATGTAATGTGTTGACTCTGAGTCAACTAGTAGTACACGTCATCGAGTTAGGTTAACTCACTTGCTTGGGTACTAAGGGTCACTGTGGACCCAAGATATATAAAAGGGATGGTTTATTTAGTCAAACCCTAAAACAATATACCCATTTTCGGGTAAACATCTACCGATAAAGAACGACACAATCACTTTCACGAGATTCACGAGATGGCTACCCCACCACCGTCCCCATATTTGATTTCCTTAAATTCTCGAGACCGGATGAACTTCAGCGACATACACACAATTTTCTATGATTGTGGGGAGAGAATGGCGGAAACACAAGTCGAGGTGAATCGCATTAAGGAGGAAATAGGTTGTGATTTTGTGATATCGAGGGTGGAAATGGTTGCTATGCAGCGGCGATTAGACCGTAACGAGAAGAAGATGCACGCTATGACTGTTGTGGTGGTGGCACTTGTGATGGTGACGATCAGTTTGATGATTGAGAAAATACACGCCCTAATCTGATAGTGAGTTCGGTGGTGTTTGTTTTGATGTCATTAGATTATCTATGTTTTATGTGTTTATGTGCAATGTAGTCTATTAGGGTTAATGTGGATCGTTGTGTAACTCCTGAAATCGTTTTTGGTGTAATTGTTTGGTAGTTGATGATGAAGTCCTGTGTTAGCAGGCATTTTGTATAACTGAATATGTAATCCATGAATATTATAATGGAAATCATGACATTAGTTAATGAGGACCTTAGGGGTATTTTCATCTTTTCAAATTGAAGTCTCCCATATATATACCAATCACATAGATAGATCCGTTACCATTTGGGACCCTTACCATTTTATCATTGTTTTTTGCTTGGCTCTTCTTTTGCTGGAAATCTGAGGTATGAAGATGGAACGAACCATGAAATTAATGGAATGTTGTTGTGGGTATGAGGCTATAATACGAACCTCAACCACAAGTAGCAACCCAGGATGCCCCTTTTATGCTTGCCCCAAAAAGGTAAATAATGTTTGTATCTATTCCTAAACTTTAGCCCTAGATTATAAAAGGGTTTTCTGCACAATTTGTTTCTTACTCAATTTCTAATTTCAGGATCCACGAAAAGGGTTTATTTGTTGGGTTGATGAAGTTGATAGCACAAGTGGAGAGGCTATCATGATTGCAAGTTTGCTTAGGTCGAATAAGAAGCTTAAGTCCGATCTTAGGAAGATGAAAATTTGTGTATTTCTTAGTTGGACTATTTTCTTTGTCATCATTGTGTACAAGTTGTAATGGTTTGGTAATGGTTTCCTGATGCTTTGTAATAAGGGTATTCTTGGAAATTAATGAAATTGCTCAATGTTGTAATAGTATTAGGGTACCCAACAGTATTATTATAACAAATTTGCCTGCTCGGTTTTTTGATTTAAAATTACTGCAGTGGACCACTATAGGGACCACATAGATGTATAATAATACATTAAGTTGAAAATATATCCATGCACATTCGTTTCATAACCATAACACTCGTAAACATCCATACAAACAAATTTGGTTGCATAACCATAACATTTGTAAACATCCATACAAAAAAATTTGGTAAACATCCATACAAACAAATTTGGTAATACCAGACAAGTTACTAATTCATACAAACATCCATATATAAATCCATACAAACATCCATATATACTAATTCAAACCCATTCAAATAACATGCAACAAACATCATCTATACAAACATCCACATATACTAATTAAAACCCATTCAAATAACGTGCAACCAACATCATCCATATAAATCCGTATGTCAAATAACATTAACAGACACAAACAATTGTAAAATAACATGCAACAAACATCCATACACACATCCTTCTAGAAATCCAACATCATCCAGCTAATTCAACAGAAAATAAACACATTATCCTTAATCTATATTTAGTGGCTTACCACTTGTATTGCCTTCTCCATTTTTTCCTTCAACCCTTTTTGCTAATTTCTTTTTTATAATTCTTTCAGAATATTTCATTTTCCGTGTAGTCTCTTTTGCTTTTGGTTGTTTTCCATTGCCTCCTTGACCTCCATTACCACCTCCTTCACCTCCATTACCACCTCCATTTGTTTTTGTTCCATTACCTCCTTCACCTCCATTACCACCTCCATTTGTTTTTGTTCCACTACCTCCTTCACCTCCATTATCACCAATGTTTATGTTTGTTCCACTGCCTCCTTCACCTCCTTTTTCTTTCTTTCTCCTGATTACCTTAAGTTTTTTGGGCTTGTCAACTTTAGGACATGTAGCTTTGTTATGTCCAACCTCTTTACACACACTGCATAAAAAAAAATTCCCAACCTTTGAGACTGTGTGCCTTGTAGTATTTTCACTTGGGTCCTTTCTTCTATTCACTTTGGGTCTGCCTGACATTTTTCTCCTTAAAGGTGGTAATGGTGGATTGTAGTCAGTACATGGCCACATATTGCTTCCATTCATCCCATGCATTGGATATTTGTACGTGTTCTTGTACACTAATCCAAAGTACATTGTATCCACATAACTTCCAACATCCCTATTAAGAAATGCAATGGTTGCAACTGAATGCACACAACCATAGCCATTTAGTTGCCACACTCTACAGGAGCATGTCTTCTTGTCTAAATCCACCACGTAAGCCTCAGCCAAGTTTCTTGTCTCGAACTAGTTTAAGCCAGTTGGTAGAACCTGCCTATATCTACAAACATTGGTTGGAAGTTAGTGAATGTTTATATTAACCAAAGTAAACACATTACATTACATTTACCTTTGAGTTTTTTTCAATTGATTAAGTAAGGTTGTAATTGCTGGACACAGTTTAAAATCAGGCCATGAACCTCCTTCGCTGCTCAAATTAAACTGCCTTTCCATCACATACAATCTAATTTCCTCTAACATTGTGATAATTGGTTTTTTCCTTGCATCTCTTATGACATTGTTAAAACTTTCTGACAATCCATTTTCTACTGCATCACACATCCTACCTTCCTGAAAGAAAGCTATGCACCATGATTTAGGGTTTTTCTCCATAAGATATTCAAAGGTTGCAGGGTTTAGGAGTTGGATTTCTTTCATTACTGCATTAAACAAAGGCTCAGTAGATGCTTTGCATGCTCTCCAAAACAACCGCTCATAATGTGCTCCAGTGAATCTTTTCCGAAAGTTGGCTACAATATGCCTTGCACACTGCCTATGTTCTGCATTAGGCAAAATGTCTTTCACAACCTCCAACAAACCCTACACCATAAAGGGAAATTATTAAAACAAACAACTACATTTAGATTAAAATGTTTCAAT